AAAAAAAAGACAGAGAAACAGAGATCGGAAACGAACGGTGTGTGTAACCTTTTGGGCTGGCATGTTGGAACTGCCGGTGCATTCTGCATTTCACAATGTACTTTACCCATCCAGCCTTGGTGTCTCCATACACCTCTGCCTCCCTCTGTGCTTTACCCCTGTTCCCTTCACACCACATGCCCTCGCCACACCGGCTCTCCTTGCCGCGGCGTCGCCGTGGCGGGCCCACTTGTAGTGCTAAAGATAAGGTCATGTCTGTTCAATAGTAAGTCAAAGGTCACAGTCCCAGGCCAGTCACAGCTCCCAGGGTCACGTCTGATTCAGTCCAAGAGTCCAAAAGACAGGCCCGACGGCCACAGCAGCAGCAGGCCATGGGAAGGGGTACTGGGACACACACTTTGCAACAGCAGGTACTGGGGAAGAGTCCCTGGCCAAGGGATGCTGGAAGTAGACCTCGCCAGACCAGTCCAGCAGTATAAAGGACTGGCCAACCTCCTCATTCGGCAGATACTCATGGGCATGAGAGTGTGGAAGTGCTGAGGCACTTGTGCGCCAGGATGCTAGTGAGCAGCGCTAGGCTTGCGAGCTGCGCTAGGAGGAAGAAGGGAGCTGAGCGCTGGCTGAGAGAAGCAGCCATAGCTGGGCCAGCAGAACTTAGTAGCAGTAGAAGTGGGAGTAGTATTAGTGAGTAGTATTCAAAGTAGATCCTCATGTGATTGGGAGTGTGCATGCATGATGAGTGGGTGTAGACCAGGACAATAGACATAGAGGGAGAGAGAGAAGAAAGCAGACGAGAGAGGGGGAGGTGTGAGCTATGGTGTCACTTACCTTTTGAGCGCTGTTGATGATGATTGGCAGTTGGCGCTGATGAGCGCCAGGCCTGGTACACACACATGTTGGGTGAAGAAGACTTGTAACTCTGTTCAGCGCTGGCTATTTTGGACTAATGATGTTCCCTCTTTAATCTGGTTTTGATAATTGAATTGAGCTTTCTGGTTCTCATTCATCTTCTATTGGGCTTTGTGTGAGAAATCGCAATTCATGAAATCTGTGTTTATGCATGTGACCTAATGCATTCCAGCAAGTGATGAACAATCGGGTTCCTTGCACTTGACCTCAGGCTATGTGAATTATGTCCCATTGAGGAGTTCGTTCAGAGGGTGGCTCGTACTCTCTCCCTATCACTGCTGAATGCAGGACACAAGTATATTTCTTGGTAGACAATTCTATCCACTTAATTTTGCATTTAGGGTCTTCTTCATCATATCATGGATCGCTTCTAAATGTTATGCATACCTGCAATGCAGCTGCTGGAGCAAACAATGTTTCTGGGCTTGAGGAAATGCCAAAGGACCACCGTTGCAATTCTGTGAGTACTTTCCATCTTCCAGCGTCCTGTTGGGAAGGCACTTGAATTTCCATCCTTTCCTATTGAAATTTTAGTACATCTAGTTTGATAAACCTATTTTGAAACCAGTCCTTTCTTCTTTCAATCACATTGTGGAGAACATGTGCGCCAGGACATTTGACAAACATCTTCACAGCACCCACAACCTGTCTGCGAACACCTGAGCACAGAGGTGAGTCGCACGAGATCTTGTCGTTTCTATTGAACTTAGGTGTGCTAGTGATTATCATTCCTATGCCACAAGCTATTAACTTTGCAGGGAAAAGGTCCCACTTACCAGAAATTACTTGGAGAGCAAGGAGAACACACAGTAAGGACAAGGAACATAATTAGCAAACAATGGAAAGCATGAAGAACAGATGTAGAGGAAACAAGAAGAAAAGAACGGACAAATGTATGTGCACATTTGTTTGTTTGTTTGTGTGTGTGTGTGTGTGTGCATTATCTACGTGTGTATAAGAGCCAGATGGTGTGTGAAAACACAGTGCTGGTAGCTTCAGTACGACTCAGTTGTACTCCAGGCGACTGGCTCTCAGAAGAAAATATGCATAAAGAAGAAAAGAACTTACAAAATGTATGTGCACATTTGTGTGTGTGTGTGTGTGTGTGTGTGTGTGTGTGTGTGTGTGTGTGTGTGTG